AACTAATTTTATTTCTTGTTTATTTTTTACCATAAAAACAATTTTTTTTATTCGAATATAAAAATTTACTTCCTTTTAATTTTAATAATTAAAATTTCTTCTCTCATAATTAAAGTTCTTCTTTTCGAAAGAAAATTTTTATTAAAAATTTTTATTTAAAGAAAATTTAATAAAATTAAAAACTTTAGAAAAGTTTAACAAAATTATTATAAACTTTGAGTTTATAATCAAATCAATTTTATTTTAATTCAAAAAGAAGTATGTCTCAAAAAAAATGTGGTTTTATATTATAAAAAATGTAAAAAAAATGTCAGTCTCATCTGTCCTTAGTGCGAGTTTGCGTCGAATTTATAATGCAAATAGAAAAAACCGCTGCAAAGTTAAAGCTGAAATTTTTGATTTCATTTCCAGTACACTTTACTTCTTCATGAAAATTTCTATTCTATGAATAATAAAAATCGCATTTTTGCCATACATTATTGTAATTTAATAACAGAAAAAAAGAACAAAGTCACTTTTTTTTCAAAATTTCTATAATTTTTAAAATGTCAATAACTATTCTTAATTCTAATATAAAATTTTTAAAAAATGTCATTCAAAGTGTCTATACAATATAGACTTAAAATAATTAAAGTTAAATGTGAATTTATATCCAAAAAAAAGGCAAAATGCGATTTTCAATTTTTCAAAGTGGTAAAAAACTATAAAAACTTCGGCCAAAAATTTTTAGCATTTTTAGTATTTTAAAAATGATGAATAATTAAAATTTTGACGTATATCAAATGAAATTATTTCATATTCTAAATTTTAACGCTAAATTAAAAAAAATTTCAAGGCATTTTAAGATAAATCTAAGAATTTGATGTTTATTTTTTCATTATATTATTTAAAAAAAAAAAAGAAGAAGGGAAAATGTCGCTTTCATAAATAATCAGAGTTAAAATGTTGGCTCGAGTAGAAATTCAATTTCATCTCCTACGTCTCGTTTTTTATTAAATAAATAATAACAGAATATAGAAGTAAATTTTATAGAATATTTGAAACATAGTCATACACAAAACTACTGAAAAAATATTTTTAAATTTTCTAAAATTTTACCGAACCTGATTTTTTAACAGTGCCTTAAAGTTAATTAAAATTAAAAGAAAATTATATTTCCTTCTTCAAAGTACAAAATAGAATTTTTCATTTAGCAAAGTACGAATTTATAAACTTCAAAAAAAAAAAAGAATTTCGAAATTTACATTTATGAGAAAAGAAAATTTTCGAAATTTACCTTCAGTTAGGAAAATAATTTAAAAAATTAAAAATTAAATCTTATGATAAACTGTAACCTAATTTTCAAGGATGGTTGAAGGTATTTGCAATTTAAAAATTCGTTTCGCTGTGAATTCTATTAAATAAATATTCCTCTTAATGGAAATTCATCAAAATAAAAATTATCTTCATGAATAATTTGATTGAGAAGAAATTTCTTTATATAAAATTTTACTTTAATAAAAATTGTATGTACAATGGAAAATTTCGTTTAATTATTTATTCAATGTCATGAAACTTAGTCAAAGAAAAATTCCATAAAGTGTGGATTATCAATATTAAAAAAAGCGTAGAGAATTTTCATGAGTAAAAAAAAATTTTTAAATTGGCTTCAAAAAATCATGCGTAAGAAGAAATTTAAAAAATTTTTAAAAATTGAAGCCATTTGGAAGAAAGTGCCATTTTGAAAAAATGGCATTTTCTTTAAAATGGCTTCAAAAAATCATGGATAAGAAGAAATTTAAAAAATTTAAAAATTGAAGCCATTTAGAAGAGAGTGCCATTTTAAAAAATGGCACTTTTTTCAAAATAGCTTCAAAAAATCATGCATTAAAACGAAATTTTAAAAATTGAAGCCATTTTGAAAAAAATTGCTTCAAAAAAGCATGAGTAAGAAGAAATTTAAAAAATTGAAGCCATTTGGAAGAAAATGCCATTTTGAAAAAATGGCACTTTATTCAAAATGGCTTAAAAAAATCATGCGTAAAAAGAAATTTAAAAAATTTTAAAAATTGAAGCCATTTGGAAAAAAGTGACATTTTGAAAAAAGTGGCTTCAAAAAAATCATCCAAATGTTTGAAAATGCTTTTATTGTTAGTTTAGGATGTGAGAATAACTACAATATAATTTCTCGTATTTTTTTTACTGCAGGTATTAAACTCTTGTGGGGAAATTTTCATGTAAGTGCTGGTTGTGTTCTTAGGGATTTTGTTTCAAGAGAAAATATTTACAATAACGTTTCTCAGTAAATTAATTGTTTCCGTGTTCGATAATCATGTTTCTCATGGTTTACAATTATTTTTTACAAGCATTAGAATCACTATATACTGAATATTTCACGCGACCCTTAAGAACAAAAACACTCCCCTTTATATTGGGGTGTGAGTATGTATGCTTTTTTTTGTTATTATAGTAATTCATGTGCTCAAGTCGGCTGAGGTCTCAATTAAGGGTTCATATATATACCACACTTTGTAAAACATCTCAAAAATATTTTGTGTAAAAATTTTCGAGAGATCCAAGCACTCTAAATATATTTTTTTTTTACGACGTTTTTCAAAACCACATTTGATAATGTTTTTCTTGAAAAACTGATTCTTACAAAAATTTTCATAAAATTTTTCGATAAAAATTAATTATTTTAAAAAGATTTAAAAAAAAAATTTTTTTTTAATTCTTCACAAGAATTCAATTATTTTTATAAATAAATAAAATATAAATTATTTTTCCTTGGAAGTTGAATTATCCTTAAAAATTTTAATAAAATTCGTTGCAAAAATTTAATTATTATTTTTATATTATAATAAAACTCATCTCGCAGGATTTTAATTATTTTAAATACAATTTTAAATGTCCTGGAAAAATGAAATTATTCCTAAAAATTTTAATTTGTTTATTGGAATTTAATAATTATTGTCAATACATTTTTAATTAAATTTCTTAAAAGAATTTTATTTTTCCAAAATTTTAATGAAATTCTTTGTATAACAATTTAATTATTTTAAAAAATAATAAGATTTCTACAAAATTGTAATGAAAAAAATTTTTTTTTTCAATTTTAATGAAATTTTTTTCTTTGAGTTGGACTTTTTTTATGATTTTTGAAAATAACTGGGTTTTTCACAAAGTGAAATAAGAGATGTAAGGAAATTTTATACCCTGAGTAGTAGAAAAATATCAAATTCTTGTAAATCTTAAATTATCATTGAATTTTTTTTCTCATATTTTCAATATTGTAATTTTTAAAAAATAAATTAAAAGTTTTACATTGAAATTAATTAAAATTTTCATTCCAGTGTGAAAATAAATAACAATAAATATTTAAATATTTTTTTAACAAAACATATTAATTTATTATTTTCTTCAACAATTATTTTTTTTAAATAATTTTATTTAAAAATTTGAATTTTGAAAGTAATGCAGATGTAATTTTTAGAAATAAATAAGTTTCCAAACATTTAAAGTTTAGAAACTTTCTCGCGCTGTATTCCGTCACTTCTAAGAATTCTGAGAAACAAAATGGCGGCGGACAAATAAAACAGCTGATTCACTTGAAATTTTCAAATTAGTCTAAATTCCAAATTAAACGGAATTAAATGACGATATTTTTTTAAAACAATTTTTCCAAATGGCAAAAATGTGATTTAGGTGTAGTTTGGAAATTTTCCATTCTAACTTTTTTAAATTGGACATTTTACCAAAACTACCAATATTAAAATTTCAAAAAAAAAATAATTAATTAATAAATAATAATAATAATAATAATAATAATAATAATAATAATAATAATAATAATAATAATAAAATAATTAAAAGAAAATTATTATTAAAAAGCTATTCTATATGGAAATTTTAAATGCCCCTAATTTCATATATATAATTTTTTTTCCAAATGGAATTAATTTACAAATAAAATTTTATAAACGTAGAGAATAAAATTGTTCGTTTTAAAGTAATAATTACAAAACTAATTGGGGCAAATTAAACTGGAAATTAAATTTGACTTGTGTCAAAACTGTCGAGCGGGCGTTCAATATGATAAACTGATAGTGGTGCGGGGTTAAGATGAAAGACGTCCAGCTCGCTAGAATAAGAGACTGACAGCTTCGTTATAACAGTTGCTCGTTATGTCAAACATGATTACAGTACAATTCCAATTTTAGTGCAATAATTATTTCATTTCTTTCCACAATTTTTTTTTTCTACTTTAAAAAAAATTTTTTCTTTTTTTTTTTCTTATTATACCTCTAGAGTGGCAATTTGTTCCAAGAATATGTACAACGTGTTAAAAATTGGTCCAAGAAATGTGGAAAAATTCACATGAATATTTCATGAAGTAAAATATTTTTCCAAAATATAGTTTTTTTTTCTTAATGGAGATTATAAAATTTTTATTTTTAAAATTTTCGAAATTCTTTTTTTAATAATTAAAAATTTTTTCACATTTTTCTTTTTTAGTCTTTAACAAAAAAAAAAAAAAACAGAATTTTAACACCTTGCATATTCTTGAAATAAATTGCCACATTAGTATGGCAATGAAATGTTTCATTACATGCAAAATTAGCTTCAACATAAACCCGCAAGAACGTTGAAAAATGTTTATAATTTTTATAATTTTAGTAATTTTAATTTCTATCAAATTTTGTAATTTAAAATTTTTTGTAATTATAATTATTCAAAACTTGATTTCTAAAAATTAAAAAAAAAAATACTTTTTAAAAAATCATATTTTTTAATAATGGAATTTTAACAAATTTTAATTATTAAAAAATTTTTTAATTAAAAATATCAAAAATAACGATTTTTAACTGTATTATTAATTACTCTACCTCATGCAAAAAAAACCAAAATTTACTCAACGTATCTACATAAAATAACGTGTAAAAAACACCCAAAAAAATATTTATAAAACATTTTTATATCTAAGAGATGATGGTAAATAAATCAAAAAATGTAAAATAGACCTTTTAAAAGGAGTTGCACACGAAGCTTGTAAAAGGATATTGAAGTTATAACGGCCCTCTGTAGGATCTTAAAAGAACAAAAAATATATTAATTAATTCTTTTAATAGTTTAATTATCCATTTTCTTTTTTCAAAAAAAAAATAAAGAAATTCTCCTCTACATTGTATTTTCATATTGTCGAAAACTGGTCATTATATTTTAAATTTATAGTGTAATAATTCATCCAAAATTATCAAGCACAAAATGAGCCCAGTTATCAAGACAATGGAAAATTTTCTCATAAATTTTAATGTTTAATGCCATTAAACTTTGGAAAAGTTTTTTAATTTTTTAATTTTCAGGTATATTCTCCTTTTTCAAATTTATTTTTAAAGGATGTTTTTAAATAACGTATTCATTCATTCACTATTTTTAAAAAATAATCATCTCTTTTGTATTTTTTCTCATTAGTTTTAATCTCAACTCTATAATGGCCATTGACTTTTGAATATTTTTTAATGTTCATGTATTTTTTATTTGTTTCTTTTTGTTTTATTTTCAACAAGATTTTTTTTAAATAACACAGTTTTCCCATATTTGAAAATAAATATCTCTTTTGTGCTTTTTCTCAAAATGTTTTAATGTCTAATGGCCATTAACTTTTAAATATTTTTAATTTTCGATTTTTTTTTATTTTCTTTTTTTTTGTTTCATTTTTATAAGATGTTTTTAAATAACAAAATTTTCCCTTAGTAGAAAATAAATATCTCTTTCGTATTTTTATTTTAATGTCTAATGACCATTATAACTTTCAAATATTTTTAATATTCTGGATTTTTTTTCTTAGCTTTTTATTTTTAAAGAATTTTTTTAAATAACATTCATTTACTCTTTCTAGAAAATAAGCATTTCCTTCGTATTTTTTCACATAAATTTGAATACTTAATGCCATTAACATTTCAATATTTTTTAATTTTCAAGATTTTTATTTTCGTTATCTTCTTTTTTTTTATTTTTAAAAGATGTTTTTAATAATATTATTATCCCATATTAGAAAACAAATATTTCTCTCGTATTTTCTTCCTAAAAATTTTTATTGTTCATTAATTAACCATTATGTTTTAAATATTTTTTAATTTTCAAATTTTTTTTTCTTTTTTTTTATTTGATTTTTGAAAGTTAAATAACAAAATTTCTACTTATTAGAAAATAAATATCTCTCTCTTTCGTATTTTTTTCAATAAATTTTAATGTCAAAGCGCCATTAACTTTTATATATTTTTTAATTGTCAATTTTTTTTATTTTCAGTTTTTTTTTTAAACATTTTTAAATAAAGTAAGTTTTCCTTATTAGAAAATGAATATCTCGTATTTGTTCTCAAAAATTCTAATACTTATGCCTTTAAATTTTAAATATTTTTTAATTTTAAATTAAAAAAATTTTTTTTATTTATTTATTTTTTTTTAAGAATGCACTTAAATAACACTGATTTATCTTTAAAAAAAATATAAATCTTTCGTTTTTTTTGCTTGTAAATGCTAAAACACTTTGTTTTTTAATAAATAAAAATTCATGCTATAAAAAAATGTTCCATATTTACCTTAGAAAATTAAATTTTTTCTTGTATATTATTGGAAACAACACTCGAGTATTCTGTATTTATAATTTTATCTGAACATGAGTTTATTAGTTTTATTTATAAATTTATGATTAATATTGATTTTACACGTGTATAAGAATAATATTTTATGAAAATTCAATTTACCCATATTTAAATTTTTTTTCATTCTAAACTAGAAACATTTTTTGTATGCTTTTCTTGATATATAAGAATTTTCTCTATATTTAAAATATTTAATTCTGTTTTACGTTAATATTTTTAGGGAAATATTCAACTATATTCTTAATTTTATTTTTTAAATTTTATTTAAATTTTTTACCCTATTTCGTCAATAAATGAATTTTTTAATTCGCGAATTTATTTTACTTTGGATATTGTTATAAATGAATTTTTAATTAATTCGCGAAATTTTTATTTTTACTTTGGATATAGTTTACGGCACTTATTTTATTATTTTTATGTAATTTGTTTAAAGGATAATGTAATTGTTTCAAGGATTATTTTTTTATAATTTTATAGGGATAGTTTTTTTTAATGCTGAAAAGGAGATTATCTAAAAATGGAATTTTCAGGGAATTTTAGTGAAATTAGAAAGAGGATTTTATTTTTAGGAAAATTATATGCACACGATTGTGGGTCTGATAACTATGTATCAATGCACTTTGGAAAACGTGAATTTGGCAGATAGTAGTAATCTCATTGCTAGCAAACGTTCTTTGGAAGGGGCGCGGCGAAACTGAGAACGGATAACCAAGTCTACTGCTATCTCTATTTGAGGGTAGTTTCTCCTTCTCTTCACCTCTCGGTGTATTTCGTTTTACTTCGGTTGCACCCTCTCATTTACTCAAAGCTAACATTTGGCAAAGGAACAATTGTTACGCGCAAACTCCTTTTCCTGATAACATATATTATTTTGTAATACAGGTTATTTCACTTTATTAAGTTATACCTATTACTTTCAGAGAAAACCTATAACAAGTTTAAGGTCTTAATGGAATCATCTCTGCCGTTTGATTTCTAAAAGGCAAAAATTAAAAAAAAAATTTACAATTTTCAAAGTTCAACATTTTGAAAATTTTATTTCAAACTGCGCTGTTTTAATTCAATGTCATCTAAATTTTAATCTAATTTAGAAAAAAGTAACTAATTTTACAATTTTCCCACTCTTAAAAATTAAAAAAAGAATTTTTTTTTAAATTTAATAAAAACAAATATTTTACATTGTAGTTAAGTATTAAAATTTGTCCCATTTTTAAACATTGAATAATAAAATACAAACAGCTCATATTTTTAACAGCATTTTAAAAATATTTTAAAATTAAAAAAAAACATACATTTTTCATATTCAAAAAATAATAAAAATTTGAAGCTCGATAGTGTGGATATAAAAAAATTTGAAATAACAACTTCAGAGGAGTCTTAATAATGTTAAAATACAAAAATTCATTTCGCTGTTTCAATATTTGGCAAAGTGCGCCACACCCAGTCCAACATTTTTAAGAAGTTGATATACAGACAAAACGACTGTAATACCCAAGCAAGCTTTTAATTTAAATTTCATTCCTTTATAGTCAATGTTATAAATTTTAAATTATAATACCCTAAATGGCGAAACTTCTTTTCTTTAATAAAAATTTCATGATTTTAAAATTGAATAACCATTTTAGGAACATTTTAAAAAAGTGTCCTACTTCAATAAATATGAAATACAAACCATTAGCTTTAATTCGCGTAAAGAAAAAGTATTTAAATTTAATGACAATTTTCTATTTCAATTATTAACAAATTTTGTATTTTATTATTTTATTCAGTTAAGAGTGGATAAAAAATATTTTAAAATATTCAAACTATAGATTTTTTTAAAGACTTTACGAATTAAGGCCATTAAAAAAACTTTTTGTCCGAGTTAACGTTCTGCTTTAATTTTTCTACTATCAATTATTAACAATATTTGAAGAACAATTTAAAATTTTTTTTTTTTTTTTAATTCATGTGTAAGAGACTTTTTGTTTAAAATGGACTAATTAATTTAGAAAAACTTTTTCCTAAATATTGTAAAAAAGAGGAAAAATCTATGAATCATCTTAATTTTGGAAATATTTTATCTCGAAGAAGATTCTATATAGTAATAATTTTTTATACCCAAGTAATTAATGACTGGGTAATTATACCCTAAATTTCCCCTAGTTTGAAATGATAGGAGATTATTGATTGAGCTGTGCTTTTAATTAACTCGTACATTTTTCTATAATTCAGTTAAATAAATTCCACTGTGTTACCAGTAATTTTTAAAAATCTTATATTTATAATTATTTGTTGTAATTTTAATTATTTATTTTCATCATTAGTCCCCTTTTTTACCTAATCTCTTTTTTTATCCCCTAAAACAACTAAAATTATAATTTTTCTCCTCTTTTCTCCTTATTTTTGAAATAAATTTTTCCAATTTTTATAAAAAATTTAACTATTTTAAAAATAAATTTTTCTAATTTAAAAAAAAAAATTAAACTATTTTTGAAATAAATTTTTCTAATTTTTATAAAAAAAATTTTCCTTAAAAATAATAAAAGTTATTCTGGGTACAACAATTTTTAACATTAAATTTTACTATATTTTTTATTTGACCGAAAAACAACAGATAAAAATGTTTGAATGCGTCTTTTATTGAAATACTATTAACAATTTTTGATTGAAAAATTTTTAAATGATAAAAGATGAAAAATATTTTAACTTGGTTATTTTTTTCGGACATTTGGCAGCCCGATCAAATAAAAATTTAGTTTTTTAAAAATTCTACCATGTACTATAATATTTGTTGAATAAAAAAATTCGGTCCAATGATTACAACTCGGTGTATTGGAAATTTTTGGAATTTAAAAATCTAACTGAATAGAAATTGTATTAAGTAAATATACCGTTGAAAGAAAATTCGTTTAAATAAAAATTGTCAATATAAAAAATTTGATTAATTATAGAAATGTAGTTACATTTACTTTAGTTAAATAAAATAGTTTTTTATATTTGTAAAATTTCTGTTTCCATAAAGATCAAAGGTGATTCATGCAGATTTTTTTGATGCTGGAAAAAATCCGTTTTCTTGATAATATGCCCGATTTTTAGAAATTTTACAAAGGTGAAAAAAATGTATATTTTAAAAATGATTATTGCAAATATTTTGCAAAATTTAGTTCAGAAAAGCATCACATAATATTAATTAAGACATCCAAAATATCACCAATGTGATATTTAAAAAGATTTAAATTCTCTAACTTAAATTTTAAATTCTTTAGGGTCCTCTAAATTTAAATTAAATTTTCTTTATTATAAATTAGGAAGCAAAAATAATTTTTTTAGGAAAATTAATGCTTCGTTATCTGTCTGAATAGTGAACGGTCCTGTCTGATAAATACCCGTTGAAAAAAGTATTGTAACTCTGGGATTAAGCGTTGACGTTACTTAATCCATTATCTAATGCGTAATCGTAAAAAGTACGGATTGTATGGTGAATGCGTTAACCCCTCAAGCTGAATGAATCTCGTCAGCTTTGCCTAGGTTAATTAATAAAATTTTATCGAGAAAAACATATTCGGAATACTTATTCTCTTAATTTGTAATTAATTGTAAAGTCCGCTCATAAAAGCTCGAATCGAAAGTTATAAAAGAAAGGTTCGCTTTTATTTATTTAGAACCTGGGTTCAATTACTTTACTTCTAAATAAAAAGTTTTTATATCGTAACCTAGTCTAATCTTAGAAATTTATTTTTGAACTAAATAAAATAAAACTATGGCGGTTCCATTTTTATTGTTATATTTATTTTATGCTTTTTTTATACTTATCAAATTATTGTGTGTTACTAAATATCCTAACTGAACAATAAGTATAAATCAGCAATCGAATGACAAGGGACAATGAAAATGCATGGGTTTTTATAGTAGCAAATCTTTCCTAGTGGAAGACAATAAGATCAGAGTTCACCCCTATCTCTAAGCTTGACTACTGGATTATCCCAAGATCTGAATCATTTATTGGAGCTTGCGAACACCTGCATTACATATAGTTTATCGCGAGTATCTAAACTACATATGGGACACTAACCAACCCGAATAGTGAAACTATGCTTGCGTCTCGAAACTGACATGAATGAGTCCTAAAAGTTGAAATTAACTTCCAACCTTCGGAATCTCTAATTACTTTCCCTTAAAATATTGAAAATCAATGAAAATTTAAAAAATTACATAGTTTTATGAGCTTCGATTTTCAGATCATTAGCAATTTTTTTAATTTTATTTAAATAGCAAATTTTAGATACTTTCTGATTTAGATGCTTTTGATCTCCACTGTCTCCTTAAAAAAAGGCACTAAATTTGAAGGAAAAATATTAACATTGTTTGTAGATATCGAGATTTTTGTAAGTGGGACACAATGTCCCAGAAACATTAAAGGGTCATTTATATCCTAATTCTAATTGTCAGGTATAAACAATTATTAAAAAAAAAGAATTTATTTAATTTCTGAATTTTTCAGAAAGCTTTAAAATTTCTCTTTTACTTTTTTTTCTACTTTCAAACGTAATTCTTTATCTCGTACTTCTTGCACGCGGTCATCTTCAGTGACTCACCACTAATGTCTTGAGTTTCAAAGAGAATTTTGTTACTGCTGGGATGTAACATTGGCTTCGTCCCAATTAACGCCCACAAATTTAAATTTTACTTGAATACTGAAAACTTTTTCTTAAGCTGTCTCGGTTTTCACCGACACCACTGGCTCGATTTTTCATACTTTTTTTAATATTAATTTTACAATGTACTCTTTAAAACACCACTCATTGTTCGACAAATTATAATAACCAGAATTGTAGTTGACAATTAACAAAAATAAATAAAATTGTAACAAAAAAAACTTTTAAAATTTTAATAGTTTCTGAATTAAAAAAACCACAGGTGTATTATAAAGTAGATCCATAGGTAATCTAATGAACTCAGAGGGATGTCATAAACAAGACAGTGTTCGGATAACAAGTTTTAAAAAAATGTCACTGCTGACACCGTTGTAACGAAAAATCCCACCGCTGTCACTACCAGAAAAACGAAAGATTTTCTATACTTATAACGACGATTTTTAATAATTACCTCACTGTATCAATTTTCAAAATTGACCTCAAAACGAGATTTTAATTTGTGACTGTCACACTTTAATTAATTCCGTACGTGAATGATTCAAATTGGGATAAAAAATTCTCAAATATAAATGAACGAAA